CGCGGAACTGCGCCGTGAGCGGGCGCGGCTTGGGCGGGCTACCGCTCAGACTCCCCGACCGTGACATGCCCACTGCATTCGCGCCGCCAAAAACACCCTGCGCAGCGGCGGGAGACACGGGTGCATCGACGGAGCTCTTGGACGACGACGAGTGGAGCAGCGAAGTGCTTGAGCTCGAGCGACTCGCCGCGAGGCGCGGAGAAGCTACCGTCTGCTGCCCGAGCTTTTTCGTCAACTCGGCGATGGTCGCTCCCATGGCGCCGTTCCTGTTGGCGGTGCGGGTGAGCCTACGCACATCCGGCAAAGCCTCCGTATGACGCTGAGCAGCAGGAGGTTCGGCGGAGGGGGCACGTCGCGGACGATCAAAGCATCCTTCGCAGGTCGGTCTACCGTCCATACCCACCAGCACCTCTACACCGTCCTGGGTGCGCTTATCGCACACCGAGCACTTCCAGCACCTCCCATGCCAGATGCCGTTGGCGGACTTGACGTACTTGCCGTCTTCCCTGGTGGATCCGAGCACGTCGAGGCCGCACGCGGCGCAGGCACCGAGACTGTATCGCCGAGCGTAGCAGTCTCGACAATAGTATGCGGCGTCGGGAGGAGAGAGCGAGGCGGGTGCGGCGTAGAGCGTCGAATCGCGTGCGAATACGGCGGCGCAGTCGGCACAGGCCCACCGATTGCGCGACTCGGACGGCTCGACGAGCGAGCCGCACACCTTGGATAGCACGCCGTCGGAGCCCTTGAGGACGGGCGCGGTGTAGTCCTGGCTTGTTCGCCTCGGCGCATCGTCAGTGACTGCGGGGCTTAGCCTGGTAGAATCGTGCGCATCGCTCAGCGGGGCATCAGCCTTGGGAGCAGTGCTGCGCAGGTCGCGAGAGATGCGCGACGGCATACCGAACCCGAGGGCGGGGTCGAAACTCGCGCGCTTGGGCGACAGCGGTGGCGGCTGATTGTGGGTGTATTCCATGTCGAGCTCGTCTGGTGCAGCGAGGCCGGAGCTGACGTTGACGTATCGACTTGCCCAGTGGTCGACCTTCTTGGCTGCGGGCAGCGCCTGGGTTGAGGCGATGCGAGGCTCCTTGCTCGTGCCGCCGCACCTGCTGCAGCGCACCTTGCCCGAGATGGGGTCGCCGCAGCGCTGACAGAAGCCGAGACGCTGGGAGGAAGCATCACGAGCTGTCGCAACCACCGCGGCGCTCGACATTGTGCATGGAATGGTTGGTGGAGCTAGTCGTGCCTCTTTCAGGTGGGCGCGCGCGCGGTTGGCCTTTATAGGAGCGGCCAGGTAGACGATGGCTCAACCACTCGCGGGCATGTGTGGATCGTCGGTAAGGCGAGATGAAAGAGCAGCGGCAAGTGGTGGTGGCGGCTGTGGCTGTGGCTGTGAAGGAGGAGGAGCGCAAGGGCCAAATGCAGTGCGCACCCAGGCTGTTCAAGCAGAGTCAGCTGCGAAGCCCCTTTTTCCCTTTTTCTTTTTTGGCTCGCGCACGCCCCGCCCAAAAAGAAAAAGGTGCCTTCAGCCTCCACAACAACACCTCCGCCGCCCCACCAACGCGTCTCTCCACGCCCCGCCACCTGACAAGGCCACGTGCTGCTGCTCCTGGCTCCAGCTCGTGAGATCTTCTCAAGGAAAAATCGTACGCCTCACTCGCCTCGCAGAATGGAGCGACAGATGATCCTTGTGTGTTGCGTTGATTTATTTACATGTCCGTATTCGAGGCTCGGCCGCCCAAGCTGGTGCTAGAGTGTCGGGCAATCTACTGCTCGCCGTAGCCCTGCGGGTTGTTGCTCTGCCATCGCCAGAGGTCCTGCGCCATGTCGTCGAGCGAGCGCGTGGCCTTGAAGCCGAGCTCCTTTTCGGCCAGGCTGGGGTCGGCGGTGAGGTCCGGCACGTCGCCCGTGCGGCGGCCGACGATGGTGTGCGGGAATTCGTAGCCAGAGACCTTCCTCATGGCGTCGACCATGTTGAGGACCGACATGCCGACGCCCTTGCCCAGGTTGAAGGCGCGGTACTTGCCCTGCGTCTCGGTCTTGTCGGCGGCAAAGATGTCGTCGCGCTCGAGCGCCTCGACGGCGTTGACGTGGCCGCCGGCGAGGTCCTCGATGTGGATGTAGTCGCGCACGCACGTGCCGTCGGGGGTGGGGTAGTCGTTGCCAAACACCTTGAGGCCGCCCTCGCGGTACTTGCCCACGGCCATCTGGGCGAGCAGGGGCAGCAGGTTGCCCGGCTTGCCGCGCGGGTCCTCGCCGATCCTGCCCGACTTGTGCGCGCCTGCGGGGTTGAAGTAGCGCAGGCCGATGGCGCGGAACTCGGGGTAGGCGTCGCACACGTCGCGGATGATGATCTCGCTCATCCACTTTGTGCGGCCGTAGACGGACTCGGGAGCGAGGCGCGTCGACTCGGGGATGGGCACCGTGGGGGGCGTACCGTAGACGGTGGCCGAGGAGCTGTATACGAGACGGTTGCAGCCGTTGTCGTGCATGACCTTGAGCAGGTTGACGAGGCCGCCGACGTTGACGTCGTAGTAGTCGATGGGGATCTCGGAGCTCTCGCCGACGGCCTTGAGCGCGGCGCAGAGGATGACGCCCCAGATCTTGTCGTCGCCCTTGTAGGCGTCAAACACCTTGCGGATGTCGTCCTTGCTGCGGAGGTCGCCCTTGAAGACGTCCACCTTGCAGTCGTCCTTGTCCTGCTGCGAGGCGCCCTCGGGGAGCTCGTCGATGGCGATCTGTTCGAGGCGCTTGCAGGCGGCGGGGAACGCATTGTGGTAGTTGTCCAGCACTGTCGAGCAAAGGGAAAGGGAGGAGGAGGATGGTGAGCATCGAATTACCATGGACAGCCAGCACGACGACGAAACACCAACTTACCAGTCACGCGGTACTTGCGGGTGAGCAGGGTGACGAGGGCGACGTGCGAGCCGATGTAGCCGGCACCACCGGGGATGAGGATCCTGGGCTTGGAGGAAGGCATGTTGGAAGGTATTTACGATGCGAGGGTTGATCGGTGGATGTGGTGATGATGGTCGGGAGGCAAGCAACACTTGGGGCAAATGCGATCCAAGGCTCGAGGCGCGGGCTTCGGCGACGGGAAGAAGAATGAATGACTAAAATGACACGACACCAGCCGGGGCGACAGCACAATCGCGGTCGCCACAGGGCCGATGCGCGAAATGCACGCCGCTCCCGCAACGCATCCAATTCCGAAAAGCGGTGCGCGTTTTGGCGTTTCTTTTCTGACACGCGCTGCTGCTTCGATGACACTCTCTGCGCAACGAGTGTCGGCGGTGAGCGTCGGAAAGCCGCGGCTGAGCTGCTCAGCTGCTGCTCAGCTGCTGCTCA